ACGATATTACGAGTATGTAATATAAAACAAAGTAAATACGCGTTGTCACTTTGATAAACATGTAAATAAAAAGTGTAAAATTTAATTGCTGCATTAAATTTGTATTTTAATCTCATTCATCCATTACAGACCATCAAAGTCCACCCACCACTAAACATAAGCCTCCCCATAGATTGCCATGTATACCACATTGCCCCCCTATGCGGATGATTGCCAGGTTTGGCAAGTGGATGGTTACCGCACTTTTCCATTTTCCTGTTGTTATTAGAAAGACGCTGCAGTCCATCTTCTAGTTTGTTCATTCTATCGCCTCTTACTTACTATATAAGAATATCTACTACTAAGTAGATATTCTTACACCGGCACACTTAACACTACACGCTTATTTCAATTACCTACAATGAATGGTAGCCCCCGTAAGACATTTTATACTGGTAACGGGGCATTCTCTCTCAGTTCTCAACCGTGACAAAACAAATTATACATTTTTATTCTTAGTCGAGGATAGATGTAGGTGTAGATGTCTACGAACCGCGCCATACGTGAACAGTGTGCGTGTGCGCTCATTTATAAACCATATTTCTATAAAAAATATCATATAAATATAGATATAGAAAACTTGCTCTTAATATGTACCGACACATTTATAAGTAAAATATTTGGAGAAAACCACTTTGTTAAATATTATTTTACATTAACTAATAGCCATAGAATTAGTCTAATTACTCTATGTTAACAGCGGAATACGATCTTATCATGTGAAGGACATAATAATCAGTTTCCATATAGTCACGTTAATGAAATCGCAAGCAGTAATTAGAACAAAGATTTCGTTTTTGTAAAAAGAAAAAGAAAGTAAAAACCTTCAGGTTTTTTTTACAAAACTTCGTTCTTTAAAAGTTTAAATTTCATTAATAACTTCAGTCCCTATTTTTCTATCCTCAGGGGTGATTTCTTTTTTTAAGTTTATATGGGACCAGCCTTCAAATATAACCTTTTTTTTATAGAATAAGGATGACAAACGAACACGCAGTCCAGCCGATGATAAATGAATGCTATGGCATATAGACATCAACATTTATCCTTAATTAAAAATCAATGCAGATACGTTGTCACTCCTAAGACTAAGATAAAATGACTCGGTTTCAATAAAGTGTCTCCGATTCCCTACACTCACCACACGAAACACACCAGCATTAAGCTGTTTTACGCTGGTATACCGTGAGAGCGTGGTCCTACCCCGGTCGAGCCGACCCATTTGTGCAATAATATAGCTGCAACAAGTTAATGCACCGTTTTCTCGGAAATGCATCAGCATATACATAAAAAAGATACACGGCAAATATAGAACCTTCCTTTTTTTGAACTCTGTTAAAAAATCCTTGACATATTATAAGCGTTAGCCCGATAAAGGGTATTGCATCTGTGGGGAGCGTTAGGCGGGGCGAGGCGTGTTTTCAAACGAACCACGTTGTTATAGCATACAATATTGTTAGCCGGTTTGTCGTGTTGCTGAGATAATTGAATGCTGTAGAGTAACTTCCACGCTGTTCGGAGACAAAACAAAAAACTAGCGACCCAGACATTCTCGGCGTAATGAGGTAGCGCCGTATCTTCGCTTTATATAGTTATAAGCGCCATAAACTACTTTAATAATGAAGTTTAACTGTACACGATTTAATTATGACTTCTTGCGTCATTCCTTTCTAGTATGACCTCTTTATGGATAATAAAATATTGGTGTAACAACTATCTTTAGTGTAGTTTTTTTAATCCTTGGCTATTGTTTGAGTAAATCCAAAGACAGGTGCAATCAATTGAATAATTATCATTTTAGCATCCTTTATCATCATCATTCAACCTATTAAAGTCCACGTCTGAACATAGCTCTTCTTCATTTATATTGCCTCATGAGGCAGTTCGCCTTTTTGTTCAGATTAGTTCAAGCCGCCAAATCTCACGAACGCACATCGCGTCAAAATTCACGATACCATCCTCACCATCTGGATGCTTGGCGGTCCAGCACTTTGCGTTTGACTAGGAGTTTTCTTCCGCGTACAACCTCTCTTTGGAATTGATTACCTCCGGTGACTTTTCCGAACCGATACGACTTATGGTGGTCACACACGGTCAGTTGAACTGATCATTCCAACTGATCAGTTCAAACTAAAACTGTTGATATTTTTTAAAATATCGGATTTTCGATATATCCGTAAATAAACTTATATGTAAAACTCCGATATTAATATATTTATAATGATCGATATATCGAAAATCCACTATTTAAAAAAATATCAACAGTTTTAGTTTGAACTGATCAGTTGGAATGATTAGTTAAACTGACCGTGTGTGGGGTCCATTAGGGACCTTCCAGAAAAGAGCTTACTGCTTTGTTAAAGGCCGGCAAAGCACCTGAAATTCCCCTGATGTTGCGTTTGTTCATGGGCGACGGTAGTCACTTACCATCAGGTGAGCCGCATGCTCGTTTGCCCCCTCTTCTACAAAAAAGGATATCTGCCGTTTCTTTATTTTTGCAGCAACTGCAGTATTTTATTATATTGAGTTACCCATCTTCTGATTCAGTTTTCCTCTGTCGCTTGTTACGACACCCACGGGATGTTATGGGGTAATGGATTCTCTTACCACATTTATTCACGATTTTAGCCTTATATAATCCTATTACTTTCACACATAGTATATACCAACTGAATGAATATATATAACAAGAACAAAGTAGAGTACTACGCGCCTGGAAAACAAAGCAGTGTTCCAGTAATCTCTAGAGATGTAAAGCTATAACTTAGAGAATAAAAGTGACGAAGTAATTCAAAGTGATTTATAGTATGTTTTATGTTAAATCTTCAAGGTAAGCCTATTATAATAGCGACAAATTCACTAAAATAGGTAAGACAAAGATTAACAAACGGACTATAGCGTAAAATAAGTGTTAGTTTTTCTATTCTCAGGGCAGAAATGTTGATTTTTTTTTTGTACTTAAGTAGTTATTATAGTGTTATTTATAGTGTGATATATTATAAATTACTTAGTCTAATTTTGCAGATTTTACTTTTCAGTCTGATAGAATTTGCAACAGAATCAATGATTCGTATCCGGAGCGGTCGTTGACCCGGCAGTAGCGCGGCCCTCGGCCGCACCTGCGCCGGCGACTACTAGCCGACTCGACTGGCGGATGCACACCCAAGGTCGCAGAGCTTTTCACGCTCTGAATCATCGTACATGACGTCTTAAGGTCACATCTCACAAACAAAAATTATCCTTCACCTACGCTTTTAAGAAGCAAAATGGCGTTTGACACGAAGCTTTCAAAATGGCGTCCTTGAATTTGACCGATGGTCGGACTAACTAACGTGTTTATTGTACATTCGAATGTCTGCTCGTCGTTACTATATGATGATGTCGATAGAATAACGCATTCGTTCTCAGAACTAAGTCGTTAGCGAAGTCGTTTACTTGATAGAAATCGTTTACTTGAAACGTCGTAGAACACTGCATGAACTTGTTTATATGCAACTACAAGTACTACAAGTACCTACATATGTTAGCAGTTAGTCTATTTATATGAAATCAAACAGAAGACAAAGACCATATAATTTAAATTCTAACAATAGAAACATTGAACAACATAAAAACACTAACGTGCCTTCAAAACCTGATAATAACAATTTTACGTTTTGTACTGTTATAGTATAATGTTTAAAGATACGTCATAAGCTACACAGATATCATTCGAATTACCTTGTATTAAACATTTAAAGCTCAGTTTACTCTTTTCAATACACAAATATTGTGATAAAAAACGAATGGCCTTTACAGGCTGCCTACATGTTCCATTCTGACATATTGTTACGTTGCTTGCATTGACAAAAACACGCCTTTATTATTACAACTTCATTAGTATTTTGAGCAACAGCTCAACAAGGAAACAAATGACATTTAATTTTATTACATTTTGGAAGCGTACTCGGAAGACGACCATCTTTTGTAATAAAAAAGGAAAACCTTTTAAATATGAGACGACCTGCGCGGAACTGTGAATCAAATAGAACTTTTTTAGATATTATACTTAATTCTCGGAGATATTGAAATGGTGTCTAATTAACTATGAGTTGAAAATAGCTAAATTATGAGACTGCTATACAATAAATATAAAAACACTACAGTTACCTTCTTCAACACATATTTTACAGCACTACAGAATTTTTAGAATTTAAATGATAGTTTATTAAACTGTATTAATAAATTAATAATTTGGTCATTATAACTTTAATTTTAATAGAAATATATATAATAGTAAATATCTGTAATCTACTTGGGGTGCTATTTTTACTATTTTAAACCAGACATTTTTCTTTACTAAATAATATGTCCATCTCTATTGTAACATGTTCAAAGCAAAAAAAAGTTATTAATCATTCGTTCATAGATAAGTACCTATATGGTAACGTTGAAGATTTTAAAACTAACAATAAATATACAACCAGCAACAGTATGTACAAAGAATATTTTGAATAGGTACATACATTCCATTCAAAGTAAGTAGATACAATGCTCACTGAATACACGTTATGTATCGTAGACATGCAACAAAAATATGCGACGAGTATATATAAAAACTCTACAAGTACAGTTAAGCGCACATCAAGTTAATAACTGCATCAAAAAAGTTTAATTGCACGCAATTTAGAGATCGTACACTATTTTATTTTTATGATAAAATTAAGTATAAACATTCATTGTTTAAATGGTTTCAACAATTATTAAATTAGATTACAAATCCAACCAACGCTACTATAAATTCTTTTGTTCATTTTGGATTCATAAATAAAATATAATTAATATGTTGCTTATAAATAACGCAGTCGTGTTAAGTTATTATTGATTGTTATAAGCTGCGTCATTTAACTAGGTGTCATTTTATCGCGTATATCAAAGAATGCATTCCGCGAACAGTTTTGTAATGAATGCGAAATATTTATTACCTTCGGATATCGTAGGCAGCACGTTGACAAAGCTAACGATCCCAACTCCAGTTAGCTGACTCATTCACAATATTAAATTCAAACAACACTGATGAGAAAAATCTGCAGACGGGTCGTATCAGACGGGCTAAAAAGCCAAAACAATACGGTAACACTCAAAATTTATCACGCCAGCCCACATAGATATATGCAATATTAACGTTTTCGACGCTACGGATTCGATCCGACACATGTGCCGTGAGCCCGTTATGTGGCGTTACAATTTACAATATCTAATGGTCAATAAGCACACTTTTCTCATAACTTGCGAGAATGTGACTAACACTTGAGACTGGCCCAGATTGCGTTAGATCGGGTGATGCGCGCGCGCCGTCCTTCTTTTACGAAGCGCCGGAGCGTACTGAACTACTGTACAACAAGTTGGTTGTAGAGTCAAGCCAACGCCCGTTCACCAATTCACCTCTTATCTCACGATGACAGTGCACTCGACCGTTTTACTGGCTGCACCTACTTGTCTGTTTACTATATACAGAAGCGATGTTTTTTTTTTCACGAATAGTATTCATCAACGCATAAACTGCGAGAGAAAGGACTATATTATTTCCCATCAGACATATCTGACGTTTGTTCTATAAATATGCTCGTTTTACTGTTTGAATAATGTTTGAGTACTTTACACGATTGTATCTCAAGTCAACGACTCTAAATTTATTTAAAAAATATATCACTATATGAAATAACGGCGTAAAATAATTCGACGAACCATTTCGTCCCTTTGGTGACGTAAGTGGCGATAAAATCTAATGGCTTACTATAGATGGAGGTATAACTAACCATCTTGTTAACGCCAGGCGTAAAATAACCAGACCAGTGAAAGGTAGCAGCGTCAAAAGTTAGTGCTGCAATCATCAATCAACCCTGGCAAGCGCGACGGTTAAAGCAAATTCTGCCTACAACGGGAAAGGCTCAAATCCTCAACTGCTGGAACTAACGAATTACGATAAATAACTTACGTAATATTTATCTTTATGGACGAGAGGATAAAGGAAATGCGCTATGCACTGTGAGTAACTATGGAATTAAACGAAGAAAGACTCAAAATCTCTTTTTTTTTTTCATTTTCCAGCAATGCAAGCAAGTGTTAAAAGATAATATTAATAAAGTACTAGTTTTAAGCATACTTCTATGCCTATGTCTTACAAAGAATATGCGTTAATATTTTTTTAAAGACACACATTGTGAGTACGACACTTTCGAGAAATTCAGCCTACTTATTATCTACTACCACCTTTCAATAAATTTAACTTAAAATGTAATTAAAATGACATACATTATGTAATGTTTAAGAAATAATAAATAAATTCGATTTTTAAAGTAACAATTGTAAACTAGAGTCCTACCGAATTTCGTTTTAGTTTTCGGGTTTCGGTCGTTTTCGGTCAATATTTAATATAAATAGGAACTCATTTATCATACAAAACGATATGCAGATAGCAGCTTATTAATTTATTATGAGAAAATATAGAAAAAATATTACAAACTTAAAATTTTGTTACTGGAATTTCTTTAGAATTTTGTGCAGACTATTTAAATTTACAAATATGTACTGATTTTATTTTATTTTCACACAATAGTAAATAAAACAATTCACTATTTACTTACTTAAATACAGTTTTTACATGGCAATTTGCAATGTTAGGTTTCGGTTTTGAAGCATGCATGGCGGTTTTGGCAGAATGGCCAAACTTAACTAGTTTTTAAGCCGAAAAGAAAACATTTTGGTCAGAATTTACAGTCAATATTTCTTTACTGTTAAAACGTAAAGAAAGCAAGTGAGAATTATATTGGAGTTTTTTTTTTTTAAATAAGGTTAACAAATGAGCACACAGTCCACCTAATAGTAAGTGGATGCTGTCGCTCATAGAACATTCTCATGCATCCTCGATCAAAGAACCAAACTGAAGATGCGTTATCACCCCTGAGGACTAAGATAGAATACCTCATTTCCAATAAAAAAGGATTTATTGCATTAATTTACGCTTGCAAGCATTAATTTACGCTGGTTACTATTTTACGCTGGTTTGATGTGAGATCGTAGTACTTCTCCGGTTGGGCCGACCCGTCGTTCGTGCTACAACCTAATATAGCAGCAGCGTGACCCTACCACGTATAAATTACAAAAAGAAGTAATGTAGAATTAATAAATCAATATACAATATAAATCACTTTAAATTATTAATTAGTGAACAATAATACTTAACAATACTACTTACACACTTTCATTCAACAAAGAGATAAATTTAATACACGATGTAACATATTTTTTATTACATCACAAAGCACCTCTTAATAATATGACTTAGAGGAAATTGAGGATACATCATATTATCGAATATTGACTCGTAGTTTGTATTAGTTTTTATGGTATTAGTTGTAGTTGCGATGAAATCCGTAAAACTTAGTTTCATTCAAAAATGTGTTGTGTTCGCGTAAACATAAGAAGTCGAACACCCAAATTTTCAAAACCTGTAAAAGAAGGTCTCGAAAAATCAATTAACGAAAAGTATGAAACGCCTAATAAATTATTTCGATAAGACAACGATAACCACAAACTATCTTATCTTAAATACTCTATTAGTAACTCCGATACTATTTCAAGCCGGAGCATTAAATTTATATAAGACGTCGACCTCTTATCTGCTTGTATAATGCGAAAAATCAATTACTAATGTCAATTTACGATATTACACATTTCGGTTGCATTAATCGTCGATTTTAAGCTCGTTTTCTTAAAACTTAACATGATTATATTATAGTCTTACCTCTATTTTCGAATACTATCGAAAGATAACTATTTATCAATGTGACTTGTATATTAGAAAAAAATAGGCTAAATGAGTGTAACTCTTTGAAAAATTGTATTTAATCGGACATCAAAACTAATATGCCACAATTTTGTTATTAACAATTTTGGAAATAAAAACCCGCTTTAATTATAGTTTCATTATTAAGTATTGTCACGTTGACAACAATGTTAATAATGTTTACATTTACAAATGTGTAATTCAATTTTGTTTATAACTACATCCTTTATACTCAAAAATTCAAATTTATGAGTACTTATGTTTTATTTTCATGAATATTTTATTTAATAAGTAGTAAGTAAAGTGAATAATAAATCGCAAATATAAGAAAAATTAATTCAATGTATCCACTGATATTTTTTGTGATAGTAGGTAAGTAATATTTTATTAAAAAAAAAAAGAAACATTACATTTCTACTTCTTCACATGAACTGCATTTGCAACGTCAAGAAACAAGTTTTTTTGAATCGTTTGTTTACATTTCCTTCATAATTTTACAATTATTGTTTATTGGAAACACAAAAAAAACACATCAAACGCCCGTTGCAATTCAAGGATCTGCTTGAGCTGGCGGCGTAAGGAATATATCCAACTGTGGTGAAGACCTTTATCCAGCATTTGCCTGTTTACAGGCTGATGGTGATAAAGATTTCATAAAGCACAACAGCTTCTCAATGGGGATATAACTCAGAGAGAGAAAGAAAAAAGAATATCAAACAAATCAATTATAATTTCATTTCACGCAACTGCGTATCGAGTATTGCAAACACACAACTAAGTATTTATTTACATTTTACATATGTGCATATCAAGCAACAGGTCAAGTTATCTTTATATGTTAGATACATTTCATGGTTATTTATTACAATTTGACCGCATCAGGTTATTGTTACTCTACACATTTGTGCATTCAACCGCCACGTGATGTAATGGTTGTTATTAAATAACAGGTAAAGGAAGGGCTCTGTGATTAAATATTAAGTGAGTCATAGTTTTATAACAAATAATATCCATACAAAAATATCGTTTATAATTATGCGTTTCGGAATTTTATTTTTAACTTGAAATAACGTAGCTATTACTATCTAATGGTAATATCTATGAAAATAAATATTAGTTAATACTAATTGGAAGGACTAATTGGTGTAACGATTTGCAATTTTAAACATAACAATAAATAAAAATGAAAATAGGTAAATCCAAATGTACATTTTTAAAGTAGTTTAAATACACACAAGTGACACAAGCTTTCACTAATAACCTTATTATACTTCCAATTTTCCGATAACCAAACGTCAATACATAAGTGCACGACTCATAATGCTCATGTAATCGTGAAAAAATCTTTAAAAAAATATTATTATTGTGGGGTATTTATATATAGTTTTCTCATCTGTTTGGGATGTATAAATATATAAATGAAAATGATAAATATACATAAATATCAATAAAATAAAATAAATGATATTTGGGATCTCCAAGAACAGTAACAGATCCATGTGTAAACGGTAGTACAGGAAAATAATTCTATTTACAATTCAATTTTAAACTTCGCTCAAAGTTTTTCGCGAATCTTACTTATGTTTATACGAATTCAACGCCCTCTTGCGTTTCAAGTAAATCATGAGATGGAACAATAGTACCTACCCATGTATTGGTATATATTGATGTCCGATGTATTAATAACTGTATTATCGATGGTTAGCAGACTATATGACAATTTAGTATAGTATCAGCTGTCTTCAAGCTCTACTCAGAAACAAATTATTACATACATGCCGAAATTTTCTTTTTATTATAACTAAACAAAACAAAAATTAAAATGCCATTTACATTACATGGCTTCCCACATGATTATCATCATCATCATTACAGCCCTTTACAAGTCCACTGCTAAACATAGGTCTCCCCCAAGGTATGCCACAAAGCACGGTCCTGAGCCACCTGCATCCATCGACTTCCTGCATGTCTTACCAGGTCGTCACTCCATCTAGTGGGGGGTCGCCCCACACTTCGTCTACCGGTACGAGGCTGCCACTCGAGAACCTTTTTTCCCCAACGGTTGTCGGTTCTTCGAGCTATATGGCCGGCCCATTGCCACTTTAGCTTACTAATCCGTTGGGCTATGTCGGTCACTCTGGTTCTACTGCGGATATCCTCATTTTTAAGTTTATCACGCAAAGAAACTCCGAGCATAGCC